AAGATAGGACGCAATGAGCCTTTCTGCACACATGGGTAAAAGGGCATTCTCTGCTTAGAGCAGTTGGGCAAGCCATAGTTAAGAACATAAGAGAAGCCAGTGTTGGATCAGGCCAATGGCCCCTCCAGTCCAACTCTCTGGGTCACACAGTGGCCAGAAATACCAGGTGCCCTCAGGAGGTCCAGCAGTGGGGCCAGGACACTAGAAGCCCTCCCACTGTTGCCCCACCCAATCACCAAGAATACAGAGCATCACTTGCCCCAGACTGAGAGTTTCTATAAGAACATAAGAGAAGCCAATGTTGAATCAGGCCATTGGCCCATCCAGTCCAGCACTCTGTGTCACACAGTGGCCAGAAATACCAGGTGCCATCAGGAGGTCCAGTAGCACAGCCAGAAAAGCCCTCCCACTGTGGCCCGCCAAGCACCAAGAATACAGAGCACCCCTTGCCCCAGACAGAGTGTTCCATCTATACCTTGTGACTAAGAGCCACTCATGGAGCTCTGCTCCATATTCTCCAATCCCCTTTTTAAGTTGTTCCTGTGGCAGTGAATTCCCCATGAACACACAAAGCTGCCTTATACAGAATTAGATCCTTGGTGCTTCAAAGTCATAAACACATAGATATGAAACTGCCTCCTACTGAATCAGACCTTCTGGTCCATCAAGGTCAGTATTGTCTATTGAGACTGGCAGCGGCTCTCCAGGATCTCAGGCAGAGGTCTTTCACATCACCTCCTACCTAATTCTTTTAACTGCAGATGCCGGAGATTGATTTTGAGACCTTGTGCATGCCAATCCAGGTGTCTCAAGTAGAGGTCTCTCACATCACCTCCTACCTGATTCTTTTAACTGCAGATGCTGGGGATTGAACTTGGGACCTTGTACATGCCAATCCAGGTGTCTCAAGTACAGTTCTTTTGTATCATCTCCTGCCTGATCCTTTTAACTGGAGAGCAGTGTTCCCTCTAAGCTGAGTGAGTGTGAGCTAGCTCACAGTTTTTTAGCCTCTGGCTCACACATTTTTGTCTTCACTCAGGAAGGAGGTGGCTCCAGAGCAAATTAATTGATGCAGCAGCCAAATCACTCGCTCACAACTTTAATGCCAGGACCTCACAAAGTGGAATTTTTGCTTGCAAGACTCCACACATTAGAGGGAGTATCGCTGGAGAGGCCGGGGATCGAACCTGGGACCTTCTGCATGCCAAGTGGATTTTGTCCCACTGAGCAATGGCTCCTCCCCGTGAACTTAACTCCGCTCTATAAATTTGCCCCACCGATGTCCAGTGTTCCCTCTAAGCTGAGTTAGTGTGAGCTAGCTCACAGTTTTTTAGCTTCCAGCTCCCACATTTTTGGTCTTCGCTCAGGAAGGAGGGGTCCAGAGCAAACTAAATTATGCAGTAGGCAAATCGTTCGCTCACAACTTTCATGCCAGGAGCTCACAAAGCAGAATTTTTGCTCACAAGACTCCACAGCTTAGAGGGAACTTTGCCGACGTCTTGTCTTCATCTCCTCCCTTGCAGGTCGCTACTGGGCCGACATCCACGACACCATAATCTCGGGCACCTTCCGACAGTGGAAGGAAGGGACGACCAAAAGCGAGATCTATTACCCAGGTAGGTCCTTCCCGGGGAAGTCTGGGCAGGGGAGCGGGGGCCGTGTGAGACCCTCGAGTACCATCTGCTCCTCTGTGCGCAGGAGACACCATCGTCCACCGCTCCGGAGAGGCCACGGCCGTGCAGTGGAGCGCCGGCACGTGGATGGTGGAGTACGGCCGGGGGTTCATCCCCTCCACGCTCGGCTTCGCCCTCGCCGACTCCGTCTTCAGCACTCAGGACTTCCTCACGCTCTTCTACACCATCCGCGTCTACGCCAAGGGGCTGCTCCTGGAGGCCGGCGCCTACTTCAGCAACTCGGGGCACTAAGGACCCGTCCTCCCCCACCCGACCCTTTGGAATGGAAAGAGCCCCTCGCCTCCCCTCGGCCGTGTTTTGTCCCAGGAAGCCCGGCGTGACTCGCATCCGCTCACTCACCCACATGAGGCCGGGAGACCCACAGAGAAAAGAGGGCAACGATATAGAGATCTCCCCAGAATACTGTCTCGGCACCTGAACATTTCTTGCGTGTTTCTCTGAGCAGGCATCCTCCGCCGCCTTCCCCATGCTCTGCACGGGACTTTCTGGCTGTTCCCTGGAGAGGTGGAGACGGGCGGTCTCGGAGAAAGACCACGCCCTTACGCATTTCTTCCACACTCTGGGCTCGTGTGAGTTGCCCGAGAGGCAATCCGGCAAACTCCGTGGCTGTGCGACCTCTGGTTTTTTTCCCCCCCAGTGTGTGCTTCGTTCTCACAGGAATGGGGGGGGGGGTGCACCGTGCACAGAGGTCTTATTTGCACTATTGTATGATGCAGACAGGCCCTGCTCAATTAGCCTGCCTCAGATGCTGCGACTGAGCCAGGGTTGCCACCCAGCAGGGAAAGACCAGCTGAGCGGTGACCGAAGGCACGATCACCAGGCGCACCGGAGGGGGACGGGACGGGACAGGCCCGCCTCCCAGTCATGTAGCATGTGTTAAGCCCTGTTTACATGGGGTTCTAGCCCCCAGGGAAGGATTCCGTTGCATTCTGCTTCCCATGCAGGTAACCAGCAAGACGCTTCCTCTTCCCCGTAGAAATAGGCCCTCTCTGGCTTGTGAGTCGTGTTCTCCTTGGCCCCGGTGGGTCAACTTGGAAAGTATTATTGAAAAATTGGATCGTCCCAGCTGCAGGGCAGCTTAAGCCTTCAGGGTCTGTGTGTGTGTGTGTGTGTGTGATGTGATCTCCCCCGTACGTCTTAATACGCAATAGGTACCATTGGCCTCTCCAGCCCGATCGGGGGTGGGGGGGGTAGGGTCAGGAATCCCGCAGGGCCAAAGACTGGGAGGAACTCTCCTTCCACCCTCTTCGTCAGAGTGGGTCGCACGTTCTCGGAGGACCTCACCCGGTTCCGTCCCGTGACACACGAGAGCCGCCCTCCATCGCCTTAACCTCAAGCCTTACTCCGGTGGCCTCTTCAGCTATGCACGCATGTATATACCTCCTAGTGTCGATATATCTTTAATGGGGAAGTAGGGGGGGGTGGCCATTGCCTCCAGGGGTGCTTTTGGGCCAAGCCCCCGGGCCGGCCAGCCTTGTTGGTTGGAGCCTGTGGACCGCCCGCCCTTTTCCTTCTCCCACAGACGCGAGAGGGACCCCCGCCCCAACCTCTCGCTCCCTGCGCCTGTTTGTGTTGTCCGTTAGCTCATCATCCATGCCCAAGAGACTCCCTCTGTCCTCCGTCCCTCCCCAAGTGGATGCCCGGTTGGTAGTCTGAGGCACCCCAAGGCACCAGAGGGGGCAGACGTTCTGTCTGCCCGCCTCACCTGAGCATCTTTTTTTTGCCTCCCAAACCAATTCCCCAGCTAGGTCGATCTGCTGTAGCCTGTCCATCCTGGTCTCCCTTGAGTCTGGGCTTCCTGTTTTTTTAAACGTGGTTGAAAACAGGCTGCTCGCCTTCCCCAGGGGGAGGGATATATACGCACACCCCCTTCCAATAATCCACACTGGCTCTTCTCGCACTTTCTGATGACTGGCGATGGTTTCCGCAGACCCGGGCAGGAAACCTGCTCCGGATTTGCATTCAGGGCGATAGCCGCAGACACTGTGGGACTTCAGCCAGTTCAGCGGGGAAGCAGAAAAGGAGTTTGGCTGCAGTGTGGGCGTGCGGGAGGGCATCTGGTTCCTTCCTCGGTCATGCCAACTGGCACAGTCTTCCCGGGAAGAACCACAGATCCTTTGGAGGATTTCCCGAGTACTGTACTGATGTGCGACCTTTCTAGTTTGTCTAAAACTTCTGCAGCAAAGGGGCAGTTTTCCTCGTGGTTGCTGCCAGTTGGAGCTCTGCGAACCTGTCTTTCTTTCTGCTTCCTGTAAGGCCGAGAAGCTCTCTGTTTGGGTCTGAACATGGTACTGGGTTTCAGACAGCCGTCTTGTGTCCAAGCCACCCACACCTCAGTTTCTGCTGTCCACAGGCTAGCATTAGCCCCTTGCTGGGGGTGGGGGGGCTTGGAAACGGCCGTCTCCCTGGTGCAATAGTCTCGGAACTGCCCGCCCAACGTCTCGCATGAACCCCGGTTTTTTTTGTCTCTCGGATGCAATAGTTGTGGCTCCTGTACACGTCTGGTCTCAGCCTGTTTGCCACGCCGTGTTTGGGGGGGGGGAAGGGAATCAGTGTTATTCTTTGACAAAAGGAGAAATATAATGAACCAGGAATAAACCTGCCTTGATGTGTGTGTCTTTTTCAGTGAAAACCTTCACAGTTTGGAATTCTGTGCTCTATGTTCTCACAACAACTGCCATTTATAGTATTTGTTTCTT